ACCAATATTGCTGAATAGACATTCCCTTTCAAAAAAGGAGATGTTACCAGCGCGAATGTCGTTAATGTCGAACAGTTGAGGCCTCTTTTCCGCGATGCCGATTCGTTTTCTCGAAGCGCGGTGTGCTTCGCTTCCCTTTTCGATTCATGATAAATGAAGATTTGCAATTTAAAAAATACACATTTGTATACACCAACTGTTGAGGTAAAATCTCTAATCTTAGTAGTTAGATTTTAAGTAACAATGATTTTTGTTCCGATACATTTTCTCGATTGAACAGAATTAATCGTTTATTTAATTGGTACCAATAAGTCCGCAGAATGATACACAAAGCGTAGTAACAGTCACGGAACAAAAAAGGCACCGAATTCTCAACGTTCGTAGTTGTTTTTCTCCCGGCGCGGTGACGTACTATGTTTGCGTGCCTGAAGATCGTCGCGCTATCATTCGCCTGCCGAACGTCGAGCCGGCAGGCAGTGGCGAGAGTCGCTCCGTGCGTGTTATTACTTTTGCGTTATCGGTTTCCAAGACTCGATCGCGATGAATGCTGGGATAAAACACTATTGATTTGCACACCTTTATCAGTAACAAGTAACGTTCCTCGATTAATTATTATATTAAGTTTCTCCAACTTGTAATAAGAAACGAATTGCATATCGGGGCGACGGCTCTTTATCAACGTACACGTAGATATTTCACGACCGTGATACTTTGTCGCGGTTACATCTCGTTAATGCACCGCGCTTTTAATTATCTATCGATTTCGTGTAATCTGTTCCATTTTCGGGAAAAGAGAGAAATTTGTACGACTTCGGCGTTCGCGCTGTAATTCGCTCTTTACCGCAGATTATGCTTCTGTTGCTCGCGTTGTATTTTATATCGCCAATTCAAAAGTGTTTTATCCATTATCCTATTCTTCCGAATCGAAAATGCAAGTCGTTAGTTTGAGTAATTTGTATAACAGAAAGTCACGCGATATTTGTTAATAATATTTCGTGCGTTTCACGGTATTTCACATCGCGTACGGGAGTGTCCGAAATTTCGCGCAATCGATGATTTTCGCGAGTAAGTGTTGTGTGAGTGCAACAAGGAAATCTGAGAGGAGGAGCAGGTCTTGGAGGCATCGGGCAACGGCGGAGAAATGGTGAGGTAAGTGTCTTACATTTTTATGTTATCTGTTACTTGTGCGAAATAAAGCATCTGTTTTGTGTTTTTATTTTATTTATTCAAATAAGTTGAACGAGGATCCGAATAAGTGTTAGAGGCGAAACCATACGTATAAAATTTTGTGAGTTTATATTTAAAAGGATCTTCGTCTTCGTGTTGAATCGGACAAGGGTGCGCTTGCGATCTTCGGCGCGAGGGAAGATCAGTGCGCGGATTCGGTGCATTCGCGTTAATCGCGATAACTCGATCACGATCTTCTTCTCCTCGTTGTCTGTCGAGGATTATTTCAGACTCGATTTTCGCCGAAACAGCGCGTGCACTTCGACTCTCGCCTCGATTACGCCGCGTTCTTCCGTTCTTTCATTTTCGCCGACGAATACTCTGCCCGCGTAGAAATCTTTCCCAGCCGGTCTTCAGTAATAATATTGGAAATGATATTCAAATAATAATGTAAATCGGAGAAGATCGATATTTTACTTGTAACATCCCATACAGCACCGAAAGATTGCAGATTAGGCCTTGCATCTGCGCATAAACGCCTTTATTAACGCTTTACGTTTCAAATGCAGATTTCAAATATTTGTTACTTTTTTAGTAACTGCAACTGTAACGCGTTACTTTTCAGAATTGGTAACTTGGAACTGTAACTAGTTACATTTTTAGCAAACAAAAAACTGTAACTGTAACTAGATACTTTTATAAAGTAACATTCCCAACTCTGCTCATTTACTAAAAATATGCCCGGACTTTATACAACACAGCCGCGCGTCTTACACACGAGTGGCTGTCCTTATAATTTTTTCCTAAGGAACATCGTATTGGATATGATCCCGCGAAGTCGAGGGCCGTTGTATCGCCGATCCAAGCCACTTTCCGCCCTACACTCGCCCCCTTGTCTCATGGGCGATGCAGACCGCCCCGCGGAATTCTTTGAAAAACTACTTCGTAAAATTGGGGACGCGCGGCACGAGAGGAGGAAGGGACCGGGGGGAGAGGGCGGCCGAATGAATAATAAATACGGTTATCGTTTAGTTGATATTTTGAAGAGGGGGCGCGGACGGAAATTCCCCGTCTGCCTTTCCTCTCCTCGCCGAGGGATCGGAGTGAGAAAGGGATCAAAGCGGATCGGAGATGAAGGCCGGGGGAGCATCCGTCCTCTCGTTACATTTCTGCGCTCCAATTGCTCGAGATAGCCCGACCGCGAATCACACGGGCCGGCGGTATCGATGGCGCAACAATATCAATCACAATATTACTGACGAATATCGTAATCGAGTCTACGCCGTGGGCGTCAAAGCTTTTAGCGTGTAATCATATTACGCGCATTGTTGCAAGGTCGGAATGTATCGCGGAGAAACAATGAAATGATTCGTAAGAGAGGAGCGAAAACGAGATGAAAACGGCCGTAAAATCATTATAATAGAACGCGACAATATGCGAGTTAACAGTATCGCGTAAAATCATCAAGGATGCTGAATCGGTGGAACTCGGCAAGATCAAAGAAACGCGTAAAGAGCTGCCGCTTTAACTGTAGATATGTTATTTAATACAGAGAGTTCTGCGGCTCTACATTAAATGTAGATGTGTAATATTATTATTTATATTTTTAATATATTATATCAATTACCTTATATAATACTTATATAAAAGTATACAGGGTGTACTAAAACCACCGGATATCCTTTTAATCACGGATTCTTTAGAATATTTCAAAAGGAAAATTCTAATACAAAAATATCGAGGCTATAGTTTTTAAATAATAAGCGATTATATTCCACAAATGGCAGGCCTGAGATTTCGCGCGCTCAGACACGGCGACATGAAGAATGATAAAGTGTTCCGATGAATGTCGCCCCTTTTCATTTAATTCAAGTAAAAATTTGGAACATTTTGTAACTTGAAGGGCCGGTATTCATAATCAGATCTTATATTCAAGACCGTCTTGAATTTATCTAAAGATGCTGTATGGAGCATCTCATTGGCTACAGAGTGTCTAAAGATGATCTTAAGATCTTGTATATAAGATACATCTGACTATGAATACCGACCAAAGTGTTGCAGCTGTCAAAGTGATCGTTCAATATCAGTTTCCGTGAAGATTGTTACTACGCTAAAAAGGATGACATTCATAGGAGCACTTTTATCACCCGTCGTGTCGCCGTACCTGAGCGCGCGAAATCTCAGACCTATCGTCTGCGAAATATAGTCGCTTATTATTTAGAAACTATTATAGCCTCGACATTTTTGCATTCGAATTTTTCTCTTGAAAGTTTTTGAAGAATCTGCGATTGAAAGGTGGTTCTAGTACATCCTGTATATTAAATAAAGTGCATAAACACACACATGTATCTCGATTCGTGGGCTCCGAGGTCCATAACGAAAACGCATCGGGGGTAGTTTCGCTCTCTCCGGTGTAGGATGGCCGGGCGATGGAGCGGCTAATAACGATAACGATGCCAGAAACGATAATAGAGTTGGGGGTTTCCGCGGTTTCCACGGCTCTCCCAGGGCGCTGATTGCTGGAACCGTGCGGCGCCCGGTTTCGCCGTCGGGATGCACGGACGCGTCCAGTGCGACGGCGATGCCCCCGTCTCTCGGCTCGGCAATCGCTACCGCTGCGCCGAAATGCAAACCACCCGCCGCATTCATTTAAATGCGGGATATTCCACCCAAATCGGATCAATCTCAAGTAAATCTTTATTTGATACAACGAAAGCGTCAGTCTCCTTCTTGAAGCAATTTGCAGACAATCCTTAAAATATTAATAACGTTTTTAATTAAAAAAGAAAAATATTTGATAGTCTTCCTGAAGTTACATTTGAAGAAAAGATATGTAGAACGTAACGCGGATAAATAATAAAGTAACAAGATGATAATTAAAAATGCAAATGTTCGTTAGGCGAAGAAAGGAAATTGGGGGGGGGGGGGGAACGCATTAATGAAAGAAGGTCCAAGGGGCCTCTCGTCGTCGCCGTCGCCTCGGCCTCGGCCCCGACGATGTGTGCGCTCGCGCTCGCGCGGACGCAGATGGAGGCCGTAACGAGTACACAATGCGATGCAAATTGGTTAGACTCGGTATGCCGCGCCGGGCCAGTCAATCGCCCGGTCGGTTGCCTCCAGTCGCGGCGGTATCGCGCGATGGTATTACTAACATCGCTATTCTATTATGACGTTACGACTACCCGAGCAGCAGCAGCGGCAGCAGCCTATTACGATGCCGGCTCCCTCCCCCAGGCACTCGATTCGCGATAACTCGTTAACTATAGCGGTCATCCAGACTCTCGCCGGAGAGAGAGACAATACCGGAGTACCCGGCCCGCCCGCGGCCGACTTCCCGATTGATTCTCGTTACACGTTCGACCGATTCTCCCGCTCCAATTGGCGGTCCCAAGTTGGAAACCCAGTGCTTTTTAGCGCCGACCCCCTTCGAGACACCCTAATTCCAAAGCACCAGCAGTGTTATTTACATTCACGCGACGGCAATTTGGTGTAAAAATAGATAATTTTATAAAACATCTTGTTGAAGCTAGCGCCGGTCCTCAACGGTATCTTTCGATCGGTGTGAATATAAAATGTTACGTTTGCGATGAACCTGTTAATTGGGAAAACTTGTTTTAAAAAGCGGCTTTTCTTTTAAAGATTCGTGGAGCGCGACGAGGGAACATCGAATTTCGTTGCCGTCAGATACAAAAATGGAAGTCACTTGTCGAACATGCCAATTAATTTTGTCTCGACTCATTGTATTAATCTGCTCGACATGTTCTGAATAAGTCATTTAACTATGACTATATTTAAATATTTTGTGCGATTAATATTAATTTACAAGACCAATATTTAAAAATAAAATACGAACACAATGTTTAATTCAATATCTCAATAACCAACATTACATTTCCTTCGGGATGATTATAAATTAATTTTTTTATTCTTATCTTATTACTTGAGGTATTTCAATACATTTTTTACATATATGTATAATATTTCTTTCATAGGAATGGACGCGCAATAACATGTTATGAATAAATATCTACTATATCAATAGTAGAAACATTATCAAAAAAAATTATATATATTTAAAAAATATAATAGAATGCATATATGTGTACAGAAATACCTATTTCGATGCAAAAACGAAATTCCTATTCTTATCTGATTACTTGAGGTATTTCAATATATTTTTTACATATATAATATTTCTTTCATAAGAATAGACGCGCAATAACATGTTATGAATATATCTACTATATCAATTGTGGAAACATTATAAAATTGGAAATATGATATTCAAAAAAATATAATAGAATGCATATATGTACAGAAATATCTATTTCGAGGCAAAAAATGCTTATCGTATATTACTCGGTGAAACAATACTTCTTTTTAGCTGGTGGCCTGTTATCTTCATCACTTAAGTTATTGTATCTTTTAGCTGTACCTCTAGATAAACCGCTGGTCGACGCGCCAAATTGATTCAATCGCTCTTCTTCCTCCTCAGATTCATCCTCACTCATATGTAACAGAGAACTCGTAGGGTCGTTGAAGGTAGACAGCTTTACTGAGATCATTCCGCTACGAAAAGAGTCCAGTTCTTTACTTCTAGCAATAAAAAAAACATACATACGTTCTTATAAGTATACATACTTGTGTTTAAGGTAAAGCTCGTGGAATTTCTTGTTATTATTCAAATTGGCCAGTTTCTGCAGGAACTTTTCATCGTGGCTGATTATAATCAGCTGGAAATTCTTTTGATGTCTCGATTGTAACTCAACCACTCTGCAACACATATTATTCGTTACGTTGTATGTCATTTAGAGTTGTTCGATTATTTTAAACGGTTGAAACAAAAATGCATGCGTACTTGGTTAGCATATCCGCTAGGCTATTTGCGTTTTCTTCATCCAGATTTGTCGTTGGTTCGTCCAACGCGAGAATTCCGCAGTTCTTGCAGAACGTTTCTGCCAAGGCGAGTCTTATGATTATCGATGCCAATACCTGTGAAAAATTCGGACGTTAATATTGTCACGCCTCCCGCGTCGCAGTCACTGACCACGTCACTCGCACAAGGCACAACACGTCACATGCGTACGAAAGAACGTCCCTCTAATTCGAAAGCCAAACTTCGAATTTTTTAAAAATCAATACAATTCGTTTACGAAATAATTGAAATCGGTATCGTGGCAACCCGCCCAAATTGCAATCGCATGCACAATAATTATTACCTTTTGTCCAGCACTGCAACGTCCTCTCATATCCATTTTACAGCCGTGCTTAGTTTGCATCAATTTGTAGTTGTAGCTTCTTTTGGTATTCATATTCGTAGGTTCCGTGCAGATCTCTATACTGGTTGTATCTGTACCCTTATAAACATTTTTCCACAGCTTTTTCATTATTCTGTTGACCGTCGCCATACGTTCCTCGAGGTACTCGATCATTGCGACATCCAATATTTTGTTGTAAGCTTGCAAATTTTTTATAGCGTCTTCGTGAACCTAGCGAAAAGAATCGTGCAAGTTCGGTTTGATACTCAAAGTCACAATTAGCATTTTTAACAAACAGCCATAAAACATCGCAAAATTATATTTCGCATATATGATACTTTACCGTTAATTCAATACAGTTGGTAGTGTAATTCCGGCGGACTAATCGATACTTCTCTTTCCGTGATTCTTGCGTGCACTGCAAGAGTACTCTCTCCAACTCTTCCTGCTGTCCCATCGTTACATTTCTCTAAAAATGCGATCGAGCAAATCATTAATCAATAAAAATGTATAAATGTCAAAAATAAATTATTGTTACTTACTTGCCGAAGCAATACTTGCTTCGCGTCCTCTAGTTGGTCCCCTTTCTTCCACATCCTCTTGTTACTCATATTTTTCAGTTTCTCGCTTAATTCCTTGTATTGCTGTTTTAGAGTTCCTAGCGTTTCCTTAATTTTACGCAGCGTTATATTGTCAAGTAACTCTCGCTTTCT